GACTTTTGTTGTGATTTGGCGCTATATAAATAAAATTGAATTGAATTGATACTCTCTTCCTTTCACAATGAACTGCAAAGACTTTATTACAAACTAGGATCTAAAAGACTGAATTCCCCCAAAATGCTTAAAGTTTGTCTTTTTCACCTTCAGGTTTTTTTTACAGTTTGCAATCTGGCTGTTAATTTGTGTCAAAGAGACAAGTGCTACTAAAGCCACTTCCTTTACATTCCTGACAGAGCTAACAAAGTGTATACATTGTGTTTTCATTTCCTTCTGCAGGGCGCCACGTGATCAACCACATGAAATCAGTCTACATGTTACCGGTTAACCACAGCAGACAGAATAAACAAAGACTCCCTGTGAAAGCTGTCTTATAGGGACAGCAAAGATGAAGCCAGACTTTTCATTAACAAGTGCATTTATGTTCAGGTAGTCACGACTAACTGTCACATGACATGGGACCAAAGGTTTTTGGGCCTTCTGTCACCTCCTGTAGACACCTGCAGTCTTTTAATTAGCCACATGGCTGCATTTACAATGCATTTTAACCTGGATTGCTGTCCATTATGTTTATTGTTTTATGAGACACTTAAAGATTTAACTTGAACTTTTGTACTTTATGAGAGCCATCTGCAGGCCACAGTTATAAATGTCAGGGAGGGAAGTATGTAATAGCTCTAATAATGTGCTAAATGGCAAGTACTGTACCTCTGAGAGGGGTATGAGCAGGATGAGGTTGCCTTCCTCTCGGCTGGAGAAACACAGATAACTGTCGGTGGTGTAGAGAGTCCCGGCTGTGTGGCAGCGGGCGTGTGGTGTCCAAACTGAACAGGAGGCCACCTCATAGAGGTTTTCACTCCGTGGGAGTCGAAACAGAGCCAGAACATATTCCCTAATAGCCTGCTCCTCTAGGATCCTGGGAGGGGGAGATGGTTAGAGGAAGAGTCAGACAATGAGGCAGTTTGAGACAGGTGGGGGAGTGAAAGCAAAAGCAAATGACATTACAAAAACTTCAGTCAGTGAGGAAACGGGTCCAAAAGGACAAAAAATATTTACGTCTCATTCACTTTCACTAAAACTACACACAGGGACATATAAACAGTACTTAGTCTGGCTGGGAAATCAAATCTTCACATTTCTGGCAAACAGATAAATCTCTACAGAATAAAGCTCTGGTCCTTAAAGGCCTTAAACTTGTATATTAACAGCTTCCAAAATACCAAAACCGTATCAGCTGTTTGAAATGGAGTACAGAAGCTGTGCCAGTGAACGGCAACAGCAACAGTGACGCTCAACACTGAACAAACGCGCTGCGCTCAATGATGCACGGCTGTGTCAACGTCACATTAAACGAAGACAAAGAGGAGCTGTAGCACGGCCTTGCTATGTGCGTGATAATCGACTGCAGTGCAAGAATAGAACACTTAAGTGCAGTGCTGCTCGGCAGAGTTTATTGCAGCGCTTTCAATCCCACCCTATAATTTTCCAAGACAAGAGAAGCGCCCTTGTTTCCTCACCGTTTATCCTTTCCCAGTGCAAATGCTCTTCATGTTTTCTATTTAAGCTGCATTTACCAATGACAGACATGACAAATCACATCACTTAAGGCTCTGTAAATAAATATAACAGAACAGTTGAGGCCAGAATTTTAAATATACTCATCATGAATGTGGTTGTAATTTTAGTGATTTCTTTGAACTGTTCTTTTTGCAGAGTGTAATGACTGGACAGGCCAGGAAACCCATTCCTGAAGCATCAAAATTAACGTTAGCCCACTGCGTCAGTTCAAAAACCAGTTTTGATGCATGTTAGGTATCACTGTCATACTTCAACACTAAACTGTGTCCAAGTTTCAACCGTCTAGCTGTTGAAGTTAAATAATTGGGAGGAAGTCCTCCTTCTGCATTATTCTATCCACCTTGTGCACAAGGACCACTGGTAGCAACAACAGCCCCAGTGAATGATGCTACCACCACCATGCTCCACATGTGGTGGCACAAACACATTTTCTGTGGCCAAATAGCTCAATCTTTGTCTCATTTGACCACAAAACTTTCCCCAGAATTCATTTGGCTTTTCGATGTGGGCAGCTGCAAGTTTCGGTCAAGCTTGAATAACTTGCCAATAGTGACTTCACCAATGAGAAATTAATGGGCTTCAGCCTTGTGAAGTTAAAAGACATTGTAGAACCTTCAGCGCCACGTATGTTAGAGGCTGTCTGTGTACTTTTGACCCTGTGTGGATTAAAGAAAATCCGAAATTCAAATTCGACTGTGCTCTTCCACGTTAAAGATGTTGGTGTGAAGCAGGTCTATCGAACATGTGTTTGTGGGAGAGTCGTCTTACACTTCCACGCTTCAGTGACAAGCACCTCCATCTGGTCGGTAAAACAAACCGACCTCAGAGCTGCGGTGAGAGCGCTTGTGTTGTATTTCAGGGATGTCTGGTCACCCTTTCGCAAAAGCAAGAAATCTATTTTTGCTTTTTAACTCCTTTCGCAGAAACGTAGGCTTTGTTCTTGAAGATGCAAAACAGATTTGAAGTGAGTTTCTGCCTCCAACCTCTAAACTGCCAAGAGACAGGCTGGTTGTGCCCTGAGGAGATCAATTCAATTTTAAACACAGCTCTTTGTCCTCTATTTTGACCCAAATGTTTTTATTTCCCATCTGAAAAAGAAGACCCCTCAGCACGACTAAAATGCAACAGACAATAACTGTTCGTTGTCTGTATATATGCTATAACACAATCCTTTCACTTTACGCTACATTTGTTTAAAGCGCGAGCATCATTTTTAACATTCTGCCCTGTTATTTGGATGTTTAGATGCTTACTTCTCACATCCTGCGACATGTGCATTAGTCAAATGTGAAACACAGCACAGCGACTGGCGTGCAGATTTATGTGACCTCTCATAATATATATAGAAAGAGTCCAAATAGAATAGAAACTGAATTACTGCAGATGTTTTTATGAGTGGGCTATGAATGAGGAAGAGAGGATCCCAGCAAAGAAGTATGTTAATACTAACGTCCATGGGAAGTCCCATTTCTTTTTCTCTTTGTGAATTTGGCTGCCTTCATCTGCCACTTGTGATTTCAGTCTCATCACCACACGTTCAGTTCCTCTTTTGCTGTTCATCATCCTGCCCGTTCTGGACCCTCTGTACTTTCTTTATCCGGCAAGCTCTATTCCTTCCTCCTCTTCTTCTTCAAACACATGCATGGACACACACATATAAAGCAACTACTGTGATGTGGTGTGTTATCCAGTCGGGCACCTGCATTGCACAAATTTTTTTTTTTTTTTAGATAAAGCTTTGAACCTGACTTCCTGTAATGGTTTTGAGGTTTGTTTGGGTTTTGTTTCTTTCTTTCTTTTTTTAGAAAAATAAACAAAGTGTATGCCTGCATTACAAAAAAAACACAACAACACAGATACACAAAAGAACACGGCACAACTTCTGTCGCCATGTTTGTTGTTGCTTTGGAAAGCTGCCCCCTGCCATGCACGCACACAAACACACACATGCACACACCCACCACAAAAACCGCTGCACCAGCAGTGCTATGGGAGTGGAGCTGTGTCACACTGTTCCTGTGATACTGAACTTGTGCTGTGAAACGGCAGCTCTGTGAGGCTGAGAACACAATAAAACCTAACGCCTAAGCAGACTTTTGTTTTTAATTCCATTATTTTTACCCTATAAAACCTACTTATTTCTTATTCTGTAGTAATACTGTTAATACTGCAGCATCCCGAGCAGGTGTGTCAGGGAGGCTGTGTTAGCGAAAATATTCCGCTTGCTCCGTCATACTGAGCAGATCTGCGTGGGCTCTGTGATGCTTTGAGCTCAGCAGCCTTCATGCTGGACTAGCAAAGCAGTGAGACTGTGAGTGAAGCGAGTAACCGAGTTCCTGACTCAGTGGGTTAGCACAGGCAGGAATCTACATAGTAATACTGCTGTGTGTAAAAAGGGAAGTAGTGAGTTTCAGGCTGACTCACCAAAGGCTTATGAGAGAAGCATAATTGCAATATTTGAATGACTCGTGCCTGAAAGGATCTACAGCAGGGGTGGGCAATTCCAGGCCTCGAGGGCTGGTATCATGCAGATTTTAGATGTGTCCTTGATCCAACACAGCTGATTCAAATGGTTAAATGACCTCTTCAACATGTCCTGAAGTTCTCCAGAGGCTTGGTAACGAACTAATCGTGTAATTCAGGTGTGTTGACCCAGGGTGAGATCTAAAACCTGCAGGACAGCGGCCCTTGAGGCCTGGAGTTGCCCACCCCGATCTACAAGGACCTGACTACAAAAGCAGTACAGCAACAGTGTTTACCGCAGGTATTCAACATGAGTTCTTTGCTAACTTTTTGGGAGGATTAGAGTGAAGTGAGCAAAGGTTTGAACTTCTTTCTGTGGATAACTTTGTTTTATTCCTAATGTTGCTTAATCTCACATTAAGAAACTCACTGTCTGTTTGTACTGTTAGCACACACCTGAACCGGCACTGACCTTTTGGTGATGCGTGCGGGCTGCTGCAGCACTCGGTCCAGCTCTAGGCCTTTGCTGTCCAGCAGCCGCCTCAGGGCAATGTCAGCCAGCTGACCTATGACTCCGAATGCCTCGTCCAGGTTCAAGAACATGGAGAACTCCCTTTGCCGCTGCCGTGTGGTGACCCGAATTGCCTCTGGCATTAAAGCGGTGGAGACCCGCTCCAACCGTGTTACCTCTGCCCAGGGAATCATAAACTTGACTGAAGGGGGAAGGAAGAAGAGAATAAAATCCCACTGAGTGTATGAGCTTAGAGCCACCTCGCACTCACTATAGTTTACACAGCAAGCTTTTCTAATACTGTTAAAAGAGAATGTGAGTTTCTCCAAATGCCAAAGTCTGAGTACCGTTATTACCAATTTGATGAACAAGTGCAGTCTTTTAGATTGAAAATGAGAGCTCTCACTTTGGAGTACAGACCTTCCTTCCCCAGCAGGAAGGAGTAGAAGGCCATGTGGTTGATGCTGAGGTAGAGAAAGCCCTGCCGAGGCACCCGGCCCTTCCAGCAGCAGCAGGAGTAGTACGTCACCAGTTTCTCTGACGAGGGGAGGCCAAAGTGAACCTCAAACTTCCGGAGCGCCTCCCTGAACTTCCCCGGGTCATCCTCCTGGGCCGCCTGGCGTCCCTGAACCTCCTCGGCGATAAGGCCCTGCAGAAGACAAAAGCTGGAGTCATTACTTCAGCCTACTTTTAAATGGGCTCACAACCACATCGTTTAAAAATCTTTGAGAAAATCACATCTTTCAATCTAAAACTCATCCTCTCTGAGTTTTTATGACTATGCCGGCAATTTACAGACCTTGACTTTTCCTTTGACGAAGCTGGCAACATCCTCCTTGTTCTCAAACACAGACAGAGAGTGAAGCAGGTTGTGGAGCAGCCAGTCCCAGTGCTTGTTCACCTCTTCTATGGCAGCTCCTGATGAAAGCAAAGAATGAGAGAATTTAACATCTCCAGCCGGTCAAATGAGTCAAGGTAAGGCAACCGAGTATGCAGGAATCTCCCAAGGCTGCAGATCACAACCGGCACACAGATGAAAACATTAAAAAAAAGGCATAAGGGTTCAACTCACCACTGGCAATGATCCAGCTGACCTGGGAGCCGGGAACTTGGAGGAGGATGCGAAAGGGAGTGACCCTGGCAGTGGAGTCCAGAACATTGTCAAGCGCCCCCACCAGGAGCCCTGCAGAGATGGCAAAGCACAGACAATCAGTAATCAGTGGGAATTCTGCCGTGTGAAAAGTCATTTCCTGGTGAGTGTTAATATTTTGTTCTTATCTCTGAATTATTTAGCAAAAATACTGCAACCTGCTGCAGCCATAATGAACCCCAAAGTAGCCATCAGTGGACATAAGAAATAGCGAAAGAGCTCAAATACTGTCTGCAGCCTTTTAAACTCTCACAGCAGTGAAGCAGCAGGTGATGGACTCGTACACGCTGAGAAGATCTAACACATCTATTGCTTAAATAATCGCTGAATATCACATAAACCTCAACTACAACAACCAGAAAAACACAATCTCACAAGTGTACTAATGCCACTCTTCAGTCTCCCTGTCAGCGGAGTGAGACGGGGTTGAAGAGCTCTCGAACAGACAGCAATATTTCACTTCTGCATGACAGAAGGAGAAACTGGAAACACCCAGAGAGGCTGTTTCCAACACCAAGAGGACAAGACTGGTGAGTTTTATACATCTCTGGTCTTTATCTCAGATTACACTCACTGCATATGGCAGGGACTTTTCAGTGTCCAATTTCAGGATACACAATAAGCCTAACTGACGGTTTTCCATCGCATGATTTCACTCCATCCACTTTCCTTTAATTTATATTTTTGTTTTATTTTAGAATTACAAAGGGTTTTATTTTTTTATTTCTTGATAATCATTAACATTGGTAATATTAATGATGAAAATGTAGCATTTTCATCTTTTTTGGCCAACTTCTGTCAGTTCAGTATTAGCGCCAGAGCAATTAATGCCTTTTCCCATGGAGTCTTTCAAAAGCCATCAAATGACCTATATGTTTGCACAGCCTTTTAGTAATGTGCCTGCACTTGCTCTGCTTGTACAGCATGGTGTAGAAGTCTTGAGCCACCCCTCTTTCTTAAAAATGTTCTTCTTGAGCAATAGTTCTCAAAGCTTTCTAAAGGTCTTTTAAAGTTTTTCTTTGGATATTTGCTGCTTTTAACTTATTTTCAGTCCAGTCCTTCTGCCTGACCCTTTTCAGGAGGGAAGTTGTTTTGTTTTGGGTTTTTTTTTGCTTGTTTCTTAATCCGTTTAATGCTGACCTTATGGATTAATCATTCAAATGCAAAAAGGGCATTTAACACAAAGGATGAACAAATGTTGTGTATACACGTGACAAACAACTTGGCAAAGAACCAACTTAAAGTTTGAAAGCATCAATCTGGAAAAAAACTGACTGCCAAGAGCTTCATTATCAGCATGACGATGATCCCGAACACACTGACAGTGCAGTGTGCAGAAAAACACACAATGGGCCTCCCCACAGTCTGGACCTCAACATTATTGAAGCAGAGAACTGAACAAAAGGCAGCCAACGTCTAAAGAAGAGCTTTGAAGACTACTTAAAGAAAATTCAAGAAAGTCTATCGAAGAGTTGCATGTGTACAAACTCTGTTTTTACCTTATATACTGTGTTCCCATGTGTTTCAATGATCACTCCACCCATTTCTCATTTTTCTAGAAAAATATGAAGAAATGAGGGACGGTTTAAAACATTTGCACATTACTGCATGCACTGCATATTTTGAAATTCTGGTACTGCTTTTAACTCCAATATTTTGTTGATTTTAATTCCGCTAGTATGCTTTAGATGAGTTATCATAAAGCCTATCATGTCTGCTGTCTATGAGAAGCACTACACGTGTTTGCCTATTATAAAATATGGCTCAGATGATGAGGAAACCGTAGTTGGTTCCAATGGAAACTTTTCAGGCAGCATGCAGATTAGCTTCCCTCAAAGGCATAATCACAATAAAGAGACAAATAGAGCAGCAAAAATTACCACTTAAGACACATCCAGCACAGCAGAGAGGTCGAAGCCAACCTTATTACGGTTTTGATGAGTCTCATTTAAAAACAAAGGGACTTCGAATGTAATCAGGCATGTAATATCCACCCATCTCTTCAGCAGACGACTAAAACAGTTGCTCAGTTCAGTTTTAATACCAAAATCCGGCAGGAAATCTGCATCTCCACAGTTGCAATCAACTCCACAGATGTTCTTGAAGCTAAAATTGAGCCCCGAACCCTCATAAATTTGAATGACTCCGTGCATTGCAGTCGTCAGGCAAATAGAAACAGACCAGGCACACATGGTTCCACGTCCTGCCTGAAGCTTTCATCGGGTCTCAATAGGGCTACTGTCATCAGGTTTTCATCTTCCTGAACCATAGCTAATCTGCATCATGCTCTCCAAATAACTACACTCTTGGTGCCACTTTTATTCTGTATTTCCTCTGTGCAAAAAGCACATACTGAGGCAGACAATATTCTGACTTGAAATCAAGAAGTCCATCAAACTTTGAAAGAGTAGAAAACAATAAAATCATTATGATAAATAAGAAAGTGATAGCTTAATCGCCATTATAAACATAGCAAATGACCTAAGAGAACTCCAGAGAGTAGCTACACACATTCTTCAATTTGAAAATAGATAATGACAATGCAATAAAAATAAAGACTCACAGAACCTGGTTTGTATGAAAAACTGGGTTTTAAGTTCAAATTGCTTCATGAGCAGTACCACACCCATCATAAGAGTTTGAAACATAATAAAAAAAATAGGTTCCTTAAGGTTTCACATTGTCAACAACCCGCACTGATGGCTATCAAACCCATTTAGAATACTATAACCAAAATAACATGTGTGGAAATCGCACAAAACCTCTGGATACAGGGACTAATGCAAAGTATTGATCGTGATAAGATACGCACAGAGCTGTGTAGCCACATCCTCTCTGCAGGCCTGCAGGCGCACTTAACCATAGTCAACTAAGGACAGTCGACATTAAAAATGACACTTTCAGCAACTAGGACCAAATGGATGCATTTCATTTGTAATAGGTCAACACAGCCATCAAATCCAATATGTCTGGCTCATAGTACCCCAAAGCCCCTTAGTCTAACTTTTCTCTAATACTTTTAAAATGTTTATTAGAAGACAAAGTTTGGGACTTTTCCCCTTAATAAGGTACTTTCACGTTTTACAACCCAGCTTTGCTTTAATCTATTAAAGAATTTTTATCTTTCAAAGACGCCATTATCAGTGAGATCAGCCCACCCGAGCTGAGCACAGCCCTGCTTTTCAAAGCTATGACTGAAAAAGATGAGGGCAACCAGATCTCTATCTCTGTGTTTAGCAGTGTCTTCTCTGGTTTGGTACACACACGCAGACACAAAAACAAATCTGCATGAACAGAAAAGGAACTCGCATGCTTGCTTATAAGAGGTTCAGTATAGTTCAACAACTTCCGGCTTGTCAGCCTGTAAAACCTGCCGTGAGGCCGCATGACTGTGCCAAAGAGAGTCATAAATCCACAAAGTATTTCAATGGACATGAGAAACATTCAGAAACGATGTTGTTTTTATGTTAATTGATTAATAATAATCAAATTCAGGCCGCACATCAGCTCGTGAGCCCTTTAGAGCCCATATTGGTGAAACGCTCAGCAGACGAGGGGGTAGACATATAAAGATAAGTCTTTTCCAGCAGACAGCTCTGACGATCAGCCAAATGTAAACCACATCTTAGCTTCAAACTTGACCTGCCTGAAGCTGCAAATCCGGCAGCCTGGCAACACAAAACTATCCATCTGTCACCACAAACCCAGACGGGGTTTACACTGGTGAAGCTTCCAGAAAATAAAACGGAGCCACGGTGAATCATTGCCTCTCTCTGCTAACGGTCACATTGTAGGGGAATACTGCTGTGGAGACATGATGACTGCAGGCGACCTTTAGGAGGCTCGCAGCAAAGCAAAACAGACGTCTGCTTTCACATCCACGACGCCGTGATCTCTGTCTGCTCTTGAATGCATCAAAATTAATAAACAGGACATCATTTTCTTGTGCTCAGGCTGGAGTGGTGAACTGAGGCTCGCTGATCGGATGAGGAAACACTAAAAACAACACGAGAGAGGCATTAGTTTGAAATAGAAACATGTGAACGGGCTGATCAGCTGCAGATGTTACCCAGCCCTTCTCAGAAATCCAGCTGGAAGAGTGTAGTCACCGGTGATAAGAGCAGAAGAGTGCGTTTGTACAGCTGAGTTCTGAGACCACATGCACAACTCGCCTTTCTATTTAATTAATAGGTGGAAACATGAAGCAAATCCAATCTGAGCCACTAAACAGACTCTGCCGCGTGGCTTTTTTTCTACAGTTCCTGAATTAGTTAATGGTAAACGACGTGAGAGCAGGACTTGACCCTTTGACCCTCTGTCTTCTCTCTATGGGAACAGCAGGAACAAACACAAAGTAAACTCCAGCCAGGAAGTCCCACTTATTCCGTTTTATGAGAAGAGCTCCACAAGCAAGAAGACAGATCGTAAAAAGGAGACAGTGGATGAGGCACATGCTCGCTTTAATGTAATTAACATCAACTAATGTAAAAAAAAAAAAAAGCGTCCAGTGCGCCTGCAAAGCCTGTTACACAGACGCAAAACACACACAGAGGAAACCAGACGGAGGAGGCAGAAAACAGGCCAAGCTGCAGCCGCTGCAACAAGTGTGGGGTCAGAAATTTATAGAAAAATCACTAAAGAATAGAAAGGACAGCAGTGTCACAGCAGCACGATGCCACCTCTGTAACAGCTAACACAATAGGACCCTACAGCATAACAAAGCCTGTTTCCTACAGGAAATTACAGTGATAGGTCAGAGTTCAAATTCAGCTGGCTTTTGTTTGGGGAATTTTTCATAACAGGTTAGAACACAAGTCCAATAAAAAAGAAATTTTAAAAACAGCCAACAATGCTCTTGTGATGTTTATGGTTATTGTCACCACAAGAATTCAAAGAATACTGCGCCAGGAATAGCAGGAAATGGGTTATCCAACTGTGATCTGTACAATACTGACAAACACTGAAACAAACGTGTGTTTTATGTTTTATAGCAAAGACATTTAGCAAATGCTCGGATAAAAAAATAAATAAATCACGTAAGAAAGAATCATGCATCAGAATCCGTTTTTGTTTGCCCCAGTTTCTTTTCTGTCCTTTCACTGTTTGACAGGTTAAGTCTGATTCACAAGTTCGTGCACAAGACTCTCACAGATCGCAGTTCGTGCGATTTGTGAGAGTCTTGTGAGGCATTTGTCTTTGTCCGAATGTAACACAAGTGCTCTGTTTTAAATGGATGCGTTTGTGGTCTGGTGGTAAACATGAGTTAACCGCACGTTTCGTGGGTGTAGTTTAACGTCCCCTTCAGAGGATGCAGAGTTTGAGCAGGTGTGAGTTACAGGTATGCGGCTCGGGGGCATTCCTGATTGCTCGTGGCTGCTATAATCCAGGCATGTGCTGAACTTTGATTTAACAGATCTACGTGTACACTGATCTTTCTTTGTAGAGAGCCGTCCTGAACACACCCCTTCTTTGGACACCCAGTTGTTTACCTGTGACCCCGCCTGTTGCCATTCTTTGTCCATGCTTGTACCTGTTTTATCTGCCACACACCCGTGCTTTTACCTGTCCCTCTCCCTGTGTGTGTGCCTGTGCTGGCAGCATGGCCTCCCCTTTGTTTGGTGTTGTTGCTCCAGTAGCTGACTGTTTTATTGTTTACCTGTGATCCTGCTGTTGGACTCGCCGTGGCCTCTCCTCCTCTGCAGCAGGAAGAAGTCGTTGCTCCTCTCGGTCACCCAGAGTTTCAGCACATTTTTGAGCAGAACTTCATCGGGGTTTAGCCACATTTCTTCTAACAGGGAGGGACCGGAGTGAGCCCTCTGCCGACTCGGTCTCTGCAATAGAGGGGGAGTATAAACTTTATCTGCCTGTTTTTCGGCTCGGGGGTGGCCCGATCGCTCCTACAGCGGCGGGTTTTCGGCTTTATCCATGGCCATCCTGCGCTCCTGACAGCTGCAGGTTTCGGACTTCCTCGCCCCGCGTCTGCTCCCACACACCAGACACACAGCAGCTGTACACACGACTCACAGATCGCCTATAAGAGACGATGACTCACTCGGTGGCTGAATCGAGTTCCCGTAGCTTTACATACAGAGCGGAGCGGTTACGATTGAAAATGAAACAACATAAAAATATAACTCATGGACCACAGTGGTCTTTTTAGAGCAGGGGTGTCAAACAGAAGGCCCGGGGGCCAGAATGGCCCCGGGACAGACCCTAATCCGGCCCACTGGATGGCTTTGGAAGAAAGAAGGAGGTCATAGATATTTTTACTTTTAATTGTATTTTCACAGATTTTACAGCTTTTCCTACTCATAAAGACCCTCTCATGACCATTCACACTACACAAGGTAAATAATTCGTAGAAAAACAAATGACACAGAATGTCCAGCTTTTTTTCTACTATAGACATTTCTGTAGTTTTCTGTTTGTTCTTTTGAAAACAAAAACAAAGTTTAAAAAAGTAACAATAATAATAATTTCTGTGAATTAACAGAAACTTTTTTAGAAACTGTTTTATATTTACAGGAATTAGTTACCAGAACATTTGGTGTAATTTTACACATTTATTTTTAATGTTTTTAAAAAAGACATTTTTTAAAAAGCGCACAGTTTGTGAAAAACAGGGTCAGAGTGAGAGCTCTTCACTTTATTTTGTCCTGTTCCGCATTTCACCAACTTTCCCTTCCGCCAGTTCCGGTAGTGAGCCAGTGACCGTTCTGTGATTGGACCTTCGCGTGAAACAGCCCTCAGGTCTGTAAAAAAAGAGTTTCTGTGAAAAGTGACACACTGAAAGACTGTCAGTGGAGTGGAAAACAGCTTTTTATGTTATAGGACTTGTAATGTATCCTGTATCCTGTATAGGACCTGGATGATAAACACTGGAAATGTGTAATAAGGAACACATAGAGAGATAATATAGGATATATTATCCCGACAGATCCACCGGCAGGTGCACTTCACACCTGCTTCCATTAAAACCCACGCTCTCTGACACTCCCACAGTGTGGGTTGAAACTGAACCACGCAAAGTTTCACTCCTGTTCTGTGTCACTGCAGACTGCGATTGCGCTTTGTACTTGTTTTATCTAACAATCTGCTGGATCCTTGGCTTAAGGTTAACTGTAGGTTGCCCGGGATGAACAAAACCTGTTGCAGCGGTGGGCGTTTGAATGAACAGTTTCACAACAGATCTAAATAACTCTAAACCTCTAAAATTAACAGAGTATGACATAAAAATAACTCTTTAGTGGGCAGAATGTGCTTGAAGCGAACCACCCCCACAGCACAAACGACCTTTATGATAACTCGATTAAACACAGATTTTTTTAAGGGGCCAATAAACCAACCCATTCATTTGAAAATAAAACTTCAGCTCCTTTATTCACAAGGGGTCGCTCGACATGTTTTAACTGGGGACTCTCTTTTTTTGTCCTTATACCGGAAGCCCTTCCTGAGGTAAGCCCAAAGGGGTTTCCTGTGATCAAACCTGGGGCCTTTTTTTTTCTAAGGCACATCTGTTAAACACCACAGCTTCAATTTTTGGATATTTTAATGGTGCAACTTGACAGGCAATGTTGCCATTAATGAAGCTCCCAAAATAAAATTATAAATAAAATGATAGCCTATAGGGTGAATCTGGGGCTTTGAGTAGTTCGCTTTCCGCCCTCCTTTAACAGTGACAGACCAGCAAAAAGAATATATCTATATTCATATATAGTTATATGTGATTATTTTTGAGCTCGGATGGATGGCAGTGGCGTAAAGCTGAGGAAGAAGGGGAAGAAGAAAAAGAGGAAGTTAAGTAAACAAAATGACCGCGGTCAAGCGGAAGGATCTCACTGTGTTACCAGTTTCATGCAAACATCTATGAAAATCTGTGAATAAAAAAATATGTACACCAGTACTTACTGTTATTGTGTGCATAACGTGGCACCTATCTGTATATGAATCGCTAATAACCTATTCACTAATTGTTTAGTAATGTGCTACAGGTCTACCTAAAAAATCAGTCAGACAACTACAGCTCATTCAGAACTCTGCTGCTCGAG